AATGTTTCTTTCTCAGCTGTCTTCAAATTATGTCACTTTACACATGATGCACAAAAATTTAATGAAATTTGAAAAACTTAAAAATTTATATTTTATCTGTTCATTTTAAATGTGAGATACTTTCTGGCAAGCACCGAATTCAGCAGGCTTTGTTTTCATATACCTTGTAAGCCAGATCCATGGAAGCAATATTTTTTAATGAAAAAGTTACCAGGATTTTCTCCTTAAAGAGAAATAAGAAACCTTAAGATTCTTATTTTGTTTTGTTTTTTCATGATAGAAGTTTTATTGGAATATAATTCACATACCAAAACATTTACCCCTTTAACATTCACAAGTTGGTGGATTTTAGTAAATGCACAGAGTGGTACAATTACCAACACTAATTTTAGATATATATTTTAGATATATTCTCATCATCCCAAAATGAAACGCCATACCTATTACCACTTACTGCTCCTGCACTAGCTCTAGGCAACTTAAAATTTACTTTCTATCTCTATGGATTTGACTATTCTAGACATTTCATATAAGAAGGAATCTTACAATATGTGGTATTCCATGACTGGCTTCTTACACTTAGAATAATATCTTCAAGGTTTATCTATGCTGTAGGATTTATAAGAACATTTCTTATATTTTTCTTTATTTTATTAATTTTTATTTTTCAATTACCACTTAATTGTATTAGTTTTAGGTGTATAATATAGTGGTTAAACAATCATATACTTTACAAAGTATTCTCTCCCCCCCCCCCCTTTTATTTCTGGTAATTATTATAATACTGGTGGCCTAGTGCACAAAATTTATGTAGGGGCAGGGAGGGTATCCCTCTGCCCAGCCTGCACCCTCTCCAATCTAGGACCCCTTGGGGGATATCCAGCAGTCGGACATCCCCCTCACAAACTGGGACCGTTGGCTCCTAACCACTCACCTGCCTGCCTGCCTGATCACCCCAACCACTCTGCCTGCTAGCCTGCTCGCTCCCAACTGCCCACTCCCCTCCCAGCCTGACCACCCCAACTGCCCTCTCCTTCTGATCTGATCATCCCTAACTGTCTCTGCCTTGGCCCCATCACCATGGCTTTGTCTGGAAGGATGTCCAGAAGGTCTCCCAGTCTAATTAGCATATTACCCTTTTATTAGTATAGATTATTGACTATATTTTCTAAGCTGTACTTCCTATTTTCATGGCTATTTTGTAACTGCCAATTTGTATTTTTTAATCCCTTTACCTTCTTTACCCAGCCTCCCAATCTGGCAATTATCAATTTGTTCTCTGTATGAATCTGTTTCTGTTTTGTTTGTTCATTTATTTTGTTCTTTAGATTCCTTCCACATATAAATGAAGTCTTATGTCTGGCTTATGTCACTTAGCATAATACCTTCTAGGTCCATCCATATTGTCACAACTGGTAAGATTACATTCTTTTTTTTATGGCCGAGGGATATTGGCATTTAGGTTGCTTCCATATTTTGGCTATTGTAAATAATTCTTTGATGAACATATGGATATATATATTTTTCAAATTTGTGTTTTTGATGTCTTTGGATAAACATTATTTCTTTATTGCTAATTAATATTACTGGTATGGGGATACCACATTTTGTTTATCCATGCATCAGTTGATGGACATTAGACTTGTTTCCACCTTTTGACTATTATGAACAATGCTGCCACAGACATTAGTGTGCAAACTTTTTGTGAACATATATCTTTATTTCTCTTGAGTATATACTTAGAAGTAGAATTGCTGGTTCATTTGGTAACTATATGCTTAATTTTTTAAGTAACTGTCAAAATTGTTTTTTTTAAGTGGCTACACCATTTTATATTTCTACATCTTTGCCAATGCTTGTTTTTATCTTTGTCTTTTTTATGATATCCATTCTAGAGGATGTGAGGTGACATCTCATTGTAGTTTTGATTTGCATTTCCCTATGGCTAATGATATTCAGCATCTTGTCATGTGGGGAATATCCATTTATATATCTTATTTGGAGGAAACCATTCTTATAACGGTTTCTTTCTGGACTCAATTCTATTCTGTTAATCTGTATGTCATACCAATACCACACTCTCTTGATTACCAGAGATTTGTATTAAGTTTTAAAATTTGGAATTATGAGTCTGCCAGCTTTGTTTTGATTGATTTTTGGATGTTAAATCAATCCTGTATTTCTGGGATAAATCTCACTTCAGCAATGGTATGTAACCCTTTTCATATGTTCATATGTTGCTGGTATCAATTTTCTTATGTTTTGAGGATTTTTTGTATTTATATTCACGAGATGTTGGGTTATAGTTTTCTCTCCTTGTGATGACTTTGGTTTTGATAAAGTAATACAGAATGAGTTGGGAAGTGTTCCCTTGTCCTGTATTTTTTTAAAAAACTTTGAGAAGAATTGGTATTAATCTTTAAATGTATTTTTATGGCTTTCTTTATCATTTACCCTTTGCTATTGTTAAGTTGCAAGTGGGTCATACAGGTGATATTTATGCTGATCTTTCTCCATAGGGCAATTGGCAGTGAATGTATAGGACTCCAAATAAAACTGTTGCCTCAACTTAGTCTATTTCTCGTAAACAGGGCTAGATATTCCATCAGTGGGAGACACGCTCAATTGCAGAAACAATTATAAGGTTTTATATCTTGAATTTGCAGCTACAATTGGAAGATGCCTGTCAGAGCCATTTTCCTCATTGGAGCCGTGGATGCAGGCCCTGATCTCTATCTACGCTTTAAGAACACTTACCTGTAACATATTAGTACAGATTTGTTTAGAAACATTATTTAAGGAGCCTGTTCAGAAATGTTATAATGACCTCTTGAGCACAAGAAGAGTTTCTTGAATCTTAGACATCACATGAGATAATATGATATTAGATGGTCATATGTGTTTCAAAATGCTTTTGGTCATTAATCACTTTACTATTTCAGTGGGGGGAAATCAGCCTTGAAGGAATAATAATAATATGTTTACTAAATAACCACTCTGTGCTAAACTTTATTTATTTATTTATTTATTCATTTATTTATTTATATTTGTTAAAATGTTTTTATTGATTTCAGAGAAAGGAACGGAGAGGAAGAGAGATAGGAACATCAATGATGAGAGAGAATAATTGATTGGCTGCCTCCTGCACAATTCCCACTGGGGATTGAGCCTGTAACCTGGGCATGTGCCTGAACTATGACCTCCTGGTTCGTGGATTGACATTCAACCATTGAGCCATGCAGGCTGGGCCAAATGCTGTTTTAAATTCTTTATATATACTACGTCTTTTATTCCTCATAGCAATCTAATAAGGTCAATACTAATATTATTTTCCACTTTACTAATGAGGAAACTCAGGAACAGTGGTAATCTAAGTTGCTTGGTATTAGGCAGGTAGAGAAAGGTAGAGCCAGGAAGTAATGTAGATTATGTGACTGCATAGCCTGTCCTGAACCAGAAGTGATTGTACATCAGGCATATTCCACAACAGCGATCCCGATTCTGAGCTTCTGTATTACAAGTCTTGAGTTTAAAAGTCATTTGTCTTCCTTTTGATAAAGATTAACATGTTTAGTCAACATTTAAGGAATATGTATAAAAGGTATACTCAGATGTTACTAAGGACTTGAGATTACACAGTCTTCATAGGAATAATGTAATGGAAAAGTGATAAAATAAATATTTAACATTTATTGAATGCTTACTATGTTTCTAAATAAGTGATTAACTTGTTTAGGTTAATTGAATGTGTAAAATACGTCTATGAGATATGTATTATTATTATGCTCACCTCCATTTATAGATGAACCCACTAAAGCAAAGATACTTTATTTGCCCAAGTTCAATTGGCAAAAAGTGGCAGAGTCCAGATTTGAACCCAGACAGTTTTGCTCCTGAGCCTGTTCTTACCATTTTGTTATGCAATTTCTCTAAATAAGTAAAAAGTCACCCGATATATGGTCACTACAGTATAGTAGCACCAAGAAGACAATGATAATGGGTGGTTGTGTTTATGCATAAGAAAAGCTTTCCTGTAAACATGAGAGAATCTGAACCAAATATGAAGAGAAAATTTAATTTTAAAAGGGAGCTGTTAGCTTGCGCTTTGACAGAGATGGGAGTGGATGATACAATGAGGTGTGCACTCAGAAGCTGTGCCTGCTTGGTCCTGAGGGAGCTGTAATCTGGGAGAGTAAAAATGGACAGTTTGAAAGAGCACTTTTAGAAAATGAGTTTATCAAACTTGATTACCAAACTTGATTATCAAATTTGATTGGTAGCACATTAGTTTGAATCAACAGTAGATGAATATAAACTTCATTTCTAACTGTTCCTAGTAAATTAGCAGGGAAAACTTAACCTGTTGCAGTAATATTTATTCTTTAGTGCCAAAAGCATAATCATTTTTTGTATTTTTTTTAATAGCAGTACAATCAGGGACCTGGGTTTTTTCATAGGAATACAAATGTTTCCCATTGTTCTATAGTTTCCTGCAAAGTGTTCTACCACAATTCAAGGCTACAGATTGGGAACTTTGGGTTCAAGAAGAGAATAGCCCCAGAGCCAGCCAATGACCAGAGAGCTGGGTGTATCTGGACTAGTTTTCTTTGAGATGTGTGGGGTCTTGGTCTGTAGCCTTGATGAACTCCAGAGCTCCCTTTATCTCCTGGAACCTGCGTGTTCACCCCTTGGTCATGAAGGCAATCTTCATGTTCTTCCAAGTTTGAGGCAATTTGAAACTTTAAAGGATCATCCAAATTATCAAAATAAATTTCATGTAATATTTTCCATGAAATAATTATTAAATGGAAGTTTCTAAGTTATTTTTTTCCAAAAAGAAGCATTAACTTTACATCAAAAGCAAATGAAACAATATTGCCTACTTGTCCTATTCCTCGTATGCAAAGATCAGTGAAAGTCAAATGTCAAATGCAGTCACTTACAAAATACTTGTGATTTCTTTCTGCTTCTGCGGTAACCTGGTGGCATGTTTTCTCCAGTCCTCACACAGGTATTCAGGAATACCAGGATGGCGTGCCGCAGATCCCAACCGCCTGCATTACAGTGGAAGATGCAGAAATGATGTCAAGAATGGTTTCTCGTGGGAACAGAATTGTCATTCAGCTGAAGATGGGGGCAAAGAACTATCCAGATGTTGACTCCTTCAACACTGTAGCAGAGATCATTGGTAGCAAGTATCCAGAGCAGGTGAGTGAGAGAGACAGTAGGTTGTCTGGGGATAGGGAGCTGTGGTCCAGAGATAACATGAGCCTGAGGAGATGGTCCTCGTACACTTATTCACTGCAGATGCTTCATATATATATGTGTGTGCAGATGCTTCATATATATATATATATGTGTGTGTGTGTGTATGTATATGTATATATATGTGTGTGTATATACACACATACATACATATACATATATATACATATATATATATATATATATATATATATTCCTTTTCCCATCAACAGTTTTACTACATGGACTGAAGAAAGGAAAGACGAAGAGTGGAATAGGATTCATAGTATAGAAATTTAACCTCTGAATAGCTGAGGGCAATATTTGGGCAATATATGTGTTGTGTTTATTCCATTTGAAGCTGGCTTTGTACGCAGTAGCTTCTTAATCTATCCTCCACATTTCCCCAAGTAAAGTGAAGAGAGGAAGAAAAGGTGAAAATGGCTGGAGGATTGTCTTTATCTCAGTTCTCTTGAAATCTAGAGGTTTCCTGCCTCTGAAAAACGCTGATTGCCATTGGCATACGGGACACGAGTCCTAAATACAGCCCCGTATGTCCACAGCTGAACACCTCAACTCCTTCAGACCAGACACCTCACCTTCGTTTCTGGTCTTCGTTAAAGGAACTAACTCTTCTAGCTCCAGCACAGTTAGGAAACTTCAAATTGTTTTTTATTTTCTCTATCACTGTCCTGTAGCCATGTACTGCGTCCTATTTAGTCCACTTTCAGCATTTAAAAAAAAAAATCTGTTAGCGCCTCGCCTTTACTGTCATTATTGTCTTAATTCAGATCCTTGACACTTCCCTCCTGATGTTTTTCTCATCTCTCCCTTATTTCTGTATTTTTTTTGCAATGCAACTCAGTGTGTTGTTGTTTTTTCAAATTAAGGAATTTACTTATTTTAATGAAAATCAAATTTTATTTTTTCCCATGCAATAAACATTAATATTTCAAGAAATAGGGTTTTAAATATAATAATGTTACATGCACAGTCTCTATGCGGTCTCCGCTTTCTGTCCTCAGGTGTCAGGGTTCTTTCCTGCGAATTTTCCTATGATTCAGGAAGTTTCTCTGTATTTTAGTTGTAATACCAGTTTGTTCCTGGGAGCATATCTGTGCAGCAGCCACTTACTCTGCCTCCATTTTTAATCAGAGTGTTTTTTTATGACAGTGGTCTTCCCTGCTGTCAGCCTCCCTCTCCTTTTCCCTGTAGGACAGGGAAGTTCAGATAAGATAAACTTTGGGGTGAGTGACCTGAGAAGCAAAAGAGAGAAGGAGGGAGAAGAGTTAAATAGGAGGCAATTGTGATAAGAATAAATTATATAATACTGTTCATAATTGAATAGAAAATGAGAATGAAGAAAGAAGGAAAGCAAATGTATGATGGAGCTTCAAATGCCAGCTAAGAACTGTCCCTCCATTGGCTGATAAGGGAGTTCAACTTTCCTAAATTCTGGCAAACTTTTCTAAAATCATTCCACTATATATTTTTTTTATCAGTAATGCTGACAGTGACACAAACATTGGTCTGATACATTAAGTGGACTTGCATCTTTGACACAGCCTCGTTACCTTACTTCACATTCTATTAAAGAATAGAGCTAAATAATGCTGAGATTGGTTGCAATGGAAATTCTCTCTCAAAAAGAAGAGGTTCTGTAGAAATTATCATTACCCTGCCTGCAGGTTGAACATCCTGGTGACGTGAAGGTGGGCTAACAATCACGCAGTGGCTGATAGAAGCTATTCATTGCAAATACCTAGCACAACATTACATCTCATTATCATGCACAGCACCTTAGTGAAAGGAAAGCAATTAGCACATAAAAAATCCTTTTGATGTGGCCCAACAACCATGCACAAGGTGTGATTTTCAGCTCTGGAAAAGTATATATGTGATTGATGAAGCATGAACACATTTTAAAACCACATTGCATAATCAAGCCATAAGCATGGACTGAATTAACCTTAGGCTTTTAGTTAAAATTTTTTATTGGTTTTAGAGAGAGGAAGAAGAGAAGGAGTTAGAGAGAGAGAGAAAGAGAGAGAGAGAGAAAGAGAGAGAGGGAAAACATCGATGTGAGAAAGAAAGAAACATTAATTGGTTACCTCTCGCGGGATGGGTTTTGCTAGGGTGGATTCTGATTTTATTTTGTCACAAATAAGCTGAGTGATCTTGGACCACTTAATCCTGTAGCTATAGAATGGAGATCTTGTCTGTAAAATCAGGAAAGCCATAAAATTCTATTACTTAATAAAAAAAACTTAGAGATCATCATCAGACCAGTGGTACACGCTGCAGACTGTGAGAGCAGCAAGACACAGTGGGAGCCTTTCATTGTTTGACAAAGGAGGGGGAGTGGGTAGGTGTTTTTATTTTTTATACGCTGTGTTCAAGCACAGTTAGGAGCTTTTCTTTTGTGGCATTTCTTAGTCTTTAATATACTTCTAACGTGCATTGGGAATTTTTACAATATTCCCCACACTTTTTGAGGAATGGTAGGGTAGAGGCCTAAGATCCATTGGGTAACGTATGCTTTGATTTTTTTTACATATACATTTTTCAACTATCCATTAATTCAACATGCATTTATTAATAATATCTGGTATGTCAGGCACGAGAATTGCAGCAATGGCCTTGGGTGGGCAGGAAGGATAGCACTGTGCTTAGTTAGAAACGTAGCCTGTAGAATTCAAATCCCACTTCTTTCATTTTGTTGGTAGACAGTTTTGCCTCTCTGACCCTCAATAATTGTTGGCCTTCTCTAGAGAGCTATGCAAAAGCAATGAGTTGAGAAGTAGGAGAGGAGAGGCACATCAGGAAGGGCCACAAAGGGTCTGGCAGGCCATGTGAAGGCCAGAGGTTTTGTCCTGTTGACAGTGAGGAGTGACTGGAGGGTTTTAGCAGTAGATTTGCATTTTAGTTCACTCTGGCCCCTGTGTACATTGAAGGGGCCAGGATTGAAATCCAGTTAGGAGATAATAGGACTTGAACTGAGACCATTGAAACAGTCAGGTGGAAAGCAGGAGAAGGAATCAGGAAATTATTTAGGAAATAAAATTAGCAGGAATTGTTAAAGTTGGCATATGGAGAGAAAAGAGAATGATAAGTCCATTGGAATGATTAGGAAAATTCATTCCTTAATTCTATAGGAATTTATTGAGCTTCTGCTATATATCCCAGCTACCCACCCAGCACTTGTGGGTTTGTGGCAGAGACAGGAAAGTGAACAACTGCAGTAGAGGATGGTAATAGCATGGCAGTGACATGGCACAATGAGGACTCATTGTAGGGGGCCAGCCTAGTCAAGAAGGCCAAGGAAAGCCCTTGCCGGTTTTGCTCAGTGGATAGAGCGTGAGCCTGCCAACCAGAGAGTCCCAGGTACGATTCTGATCAAGGGTACATACCTTAGTTGCAGGCTTCTCTCCAGACTGGGCCCTGGTGCAGGAGGCAACCAGTCGGTGTGTTTCCCTCACATTGATGTTTCTTTCTGTCTTTCCCTCTCTCTTCTACTTTCCCATTGATAAATGGGAAAATATCCTCAGTGAGAATTACACACACACACACACACACACACACACACACACACACACACACGGTCAAGGAGGGCTTTCTGGAGAGATCCAACTTATTTCTCCAGCATGACTAGTTAACCATGAGGAGTTAATCATGCTTAAAGGTTATGGGAATGGGGTTGGGATGGGAAATAATCCAAGCAGATGGAGTAGTATTTATGGAAGCCCAAAGAATAGTGTTATTTCTTTTTTAAGGAATGTAATATGACCTCCTATAATTTTCAAATCCATTGGATAATGAACCCTGTTTTCATGGAGTTTTGCTATAAAATAACCTAAAGAAAAAGACATGGCTTATTTCATGTATATGTATTTTTTAAATATAAATGATTGAAAAGCTCAGCAATCCCTTTGGAAACAGTTCTAGCATTGATGTTGTCAAGACCCTGTGGAAGGAATAAACAAAACCTGATTGACCCAGTGGACGAACTCATTCCATGCATAATTGAATAGTTAGAGGCTGTGCAGCAAATGCGGCTTTGCCTTCATCTGAATATGCAGTCTGATGATTTGTAAAACCCTCTTAATGGGTACAGCAAGTTATTCTGCCTAGGTGGGAGCCTTTTTACTAACTTAAGCAGCTGTTTAAACTTTCATAAGCGAAGTAATTATTAAATCTTTCATGAACATGTTGGTTGGAACATTTGTTCACATCTTAACCTTGAGTTGGAAAGTTTTGGAGGGGGTGGGGTTAAAGAATTTTAAGCTGGCAAATTGTATTCTTTTTTTTTTTTTTTTTCCTTCTCTTTCGTATTATAAACATTTTATGGCTTAGAACAAGCCAACCTAAATCATAGAAGGAAAAATACATGTGTGGTAAGCATGAGACATTTCAATGTTTATTTTTCAAATCTCTGAAATGTGCTCATAGCTGTGCATGCCTCTGAGCTCATAAAGACAGCAAATGGAAACAACCCAAGTCAGACGGCCTGTGTTAGATAGAGAGCCACCCAGGTAGGCGAGGCGAGCCTCGGAGAGTTTACTCTTTCCTGTGCTCAATAAGTCCTCTTAGGGTGCCAACATGGGACTTGCAAGCCGGAGGGTGCCATCTTTCCTAGGTTTGAACATCTTTCCATATTAATAATGGAGCTATTTATGCGAATCATAATTGTAAGATAAATGCCAATCTGCCTTTATAGAGTCCTTACTATGTGACAGGCAGTATTCTAGATGCTTCCTGCTCATGCATTTCTCCTTTAATCTTTGCTGTGACCTTGTCAAATAAGCAATGCTGTTGTCCCCATGTCCCAGATGAAGAAACTAAGGCTTTAGAGTGGTCACCAAATTCACAAAGTTTCTGTGTGGCAAACATAAGAGTTAAACTCAAGTTTGTCCTCACCCAGGACCCGTACTCTTGAACAACTCGTTACCCTGTATTTCTTAGTC